TTTTTTGTCTTTTTGAGACAGGGTCTTGCTATTCAGTTCAGGCTGGCCTTGAGGTCACTCTGTAGCTCGGGCTGGCCTCGAATTTGCAACAATCCTCCTGCCTCAGCCTCCGAGTGCTAGGATTACAAGCGTGCGCCACCATACCCGGCCTGTGCTGACTTTTTAGGTCTAAAGCCGCCGACCTTCTCACTGGGGGAGTGAAAAATGACACAGGAGACAGAAAACAGATATTCTTTCTAGAGCTTTCTCTGCTGTTGAACTAATGTTGACCACCGGAACGTCACTTGTCCACTTCGGGAGGCACTGGAATGGGCGTGGAGCGCACACCTGTAGCCCCGGCTCTTGAGAGGCTGAGGCTGGGAGGTTGCCATGAGTTCAAGGCCAGCTTGGCCTAGGTAATCAGACCCTGTCTCAAAAAACTAACCAAGAATCTAAGTTAAAATCAGTGCAAAGCATTGAACTCTGAACACTCCTAAGTTCCTTTCCGGATGTAGAAACTGATTCGTGGGTCCAGCTCCCAGGCGGTGGCAATGTTTTAAACAATTTTTGATTGAGTTGCCCGCATTTATAAATCAGAAGGTTTTATTAAAACGGGAATTTATGGCTTCTCTAGAGAAGCTGGCGGTGCTGCCAACCTCAGCCCTGCAGCCCAGCCCGGGCGCCGCGGCTGAGCTGAGCAGCCGCTTCCCCTTGCGCCCGGGCTGTCACGGCGTGCCGCCACCCAGCCCGTCCGCGGAGGCTTCCCAGGCTGTGGCCCTGCCCGGGGCAGGGTGCGGGGAGGATTACAATTAGCATGGGCCCCGGAGTTCTGAGTGCGGTTTCTTCCTGTGCGGACCCAGGAGGCCGGGTTCGTGGCCGATCTGTGACTCTGACCTATATTTAATTCATTACAAGCAGCGGCAGAAGGCTTGTGGCGCTTGGCAGGAGGGAGCTGCTTATGGTAATGTGACATATAACGCAGTGTGATCGTGGCAGGCGAAGTGCCCTGGGCAGCTTCTTCTCTGTCCCCAGCTTCCTTTGTGGATAGCAAATGAGCTTCCTCTGCCACCCGACACCCCAAATGTCAAGTGACACCCCAAATGTCAAGTGCGGGAGGAAAGGGGAGCTCAGGAGGCCCGGGGCCGCTTGTGCGGTTGCCGGGCCTCGGAGCTCATCTTTTATTAACTGTCTTTGCTTTCTTCTCTCAGTTAACCTTATTAACGAAGGAAAGGCTGTGAAGGAGATCTTTCCATTTTTACCTTTAAATAATGTAGCAGAAGCCCTGGAATCACCACCTCTCTTTAGCTGCAGCCACTTCTCATGCGACGGCCAAGGGTCCTTGCTGTTTGGCTTTGAAACCTCTCAGCAGTCCTGAGGTGTTTCTTTACTGAAAATCGCTCCTCAGACCTCCCTTACGATGTTGATTTTTCTAATTTTACAGAAGAAAAAACTAACCAGGCGTGGTGGCGCACGCCTGTAATCCCAGCACTCAGAAGGCTGAGGCAGAAGGATCTTTTGGAGTTGGAGACCAGGCTGGGCAACAAAGTGAGCTCATGGCCAGCCTGAGCTGCGTAGCGAGACCCTGTCTCAAAAAGACAAAAGAAAAAAGAAAAAAAAGGGGGAAAAAAAGAAAAGCTGAGGCTGAATATATTTAAATATGAGGTGTGATAAAAATATGGTAATGTTTACATTCTTAAAAAAATTATTGCAGCCGGGCATGGTGGCACACACCTGTAATCCCAGCACTCAGGCGGCTGAGGCAGGAGGATCATCACCAGTTCCGGGCTAGCCTGGACTGCATATTGAGACCCTGTCTCCGAATAAATAAATAAATAATAAAATAAATACTAAAAAATTATTACAGTAATAGACACATTGCCAGCAGGGCGTCGCGGCACATGCCTGTAATCCCAGCACTGGGGAGCCTGAGGCAGGAGGATCGTTGCAAGTTCCAGACCATCCTGGGCTACAAAGTGAGTTCAAGGCCAGCGTGAATTGCATAATGAGACCCTGTCTCATAAAAGGCCAAAAGAAAAGAAAAAGACACATTGTCATTAATCCCTCTCAAAATACTCCTCACTTTGAACACATCATCCCATCATCCTGTCCCTTTCTGAAGCAGTTCTAGATGTCTTCTTTCGTGAGTGTCTTTAGTTGTGCTGTCCTGGCTGCCTTGATGTCCTAAATCGATACA